CAAAGGACTGACGAGCAAACCACCGACTGACTGAGAAACCGACCAAAGGACTGACGAGCAAACCACCGACTGACTGAGAAACCGACCAAAGGACTGACGAGCAAACCACCGACTGACTGAGAAACCGACCAAAGGACTGACGAGCAAACCACCGACTGACTGAGAAACCGACCAAAGGACTGACGAGCAAACCACCGACTGACTGAGAAACCGACCAAAGGACTGACGAGCAAACCACCGACTGACTGAGAAACCGACCAAAGGACTGACGAGCAAACCACCGACTGACTGAGAAACCGACCAAAGGACTGACGAGCAAACCACCGACTGACTGAGAAACCGACCAAAGGACTGACGAGCAAACCACCGACTGACTGAGAAACCGACCAAAGGACTGACGAGCAAACCACCGACTGACTGAGAAACCGACCAAAGGACTGACGAGCAAACCACCGACTGACTGAGAAACCGACCAAAGGACTGACGAGCAAACCACCGACTGACTGAGAAACCGACCAAAGGACTGACGAGCAAACCACCGACTGACTGAGAAACCGACCAAAGGACTGACGAGCAAACCACCGACTGACTGAGAAACCGACCACAGGACTTACGAGCAGACAAGCGATCAACCGACCGACCAACGACATCCACGACGATAGTTGTTATCAGTTTTGACACTTGGTACTAAGAAAGTTGCCTCCTCTTCGCAAATAATTTTTAAATTGGGTGTCGAAAAGCCAAGTGGTATTTCTCTTTTTCGCTTCGTGATCGGTGTAGATAACTTGCGCCATCCTCTTAACAAATTGAATGCAAATTAAAAACCATAACCATGTTGTCACCCATGTTTCCTGCGCCCACAGAAGGTTCTTATTGGCTCTCAGAATTTCTTCCTTGCTGCCGGTTTTCGTTTGTTCTGATTGGTTGATGTGGGTTTTGTTTTACAACGACCCGACAAAAAACTCACCGCTTTGTCAGATTACCGTGTTAAAACTATGGGGTCCTTTCTCTAAATTGTTTTTCTTAATGTGGTCTTGTAGGATGACGATACGAACTTCCATATGGATTTCATTGTAGCAGCCTCCAACCTGAGAGCGGCTAACTACGACATCCCGCCAGCAGACAGACACAAGGTACATACAGACGGGAATGATAAAGGGATACTGCTGATCTTGTTTCATAGAAAGTAACTTTTTCATAACGGAGTTGTTTGAAGTTGGGAGTTCTTTTCCTCGTGCGCGCTAACCATTTGATACGCTTCAGTAATGAGATATTGCTTTTTACTGAACTTTACTTCTAATAATGCTATCTTAAGTAAACATTTCTTCTACCAATCCCTGATTTCGAAAAAAGTATAACGGAAATCATTGTTCTTCTTGATTATTATCAAAAGTATGACTCAGGGCTCATCAAAATCTCTTCGCGTCACAAACTTTATTTCACGAGGAAAGTTCAGTCGTCGTACGTTCTGTTTTTTTCTTTACAGAGTAAGTTGATTGCTGGCAAGATCATCCCAGCCATTGCTACTACAACTGCCTTGGTTAGCGCTTTGGTCTCACTGGAGTTGTTCAAGGTAAGTGCGAGATTTCGTCGGTCCTAATTTCTAACCCGGTGGAAGATTATAATTACAAGACTGTATTGATATATATTATTGGAATTTTAGATCGTTCAGGGAAATAAGAAACTGGAGACCTTCAAAAACGGATTCATCAATCTTGCTCTGCCGTTCTTTGGCTTTTCCGAACCAATCACTGCACCGAAAAACAAGGTAAGACTTCTTATGGGTTTGCCGCCCAATAGACGCCAGTATTAACTTGAGCAGGCTTAGCGTCAGAAAAGTATAAGTCAGAAAGTCGAAGGAAAGTTTAACGAAAGACTTCTAACAAACAAACAAGCGAAGCACGAAAACAAACCCTACTGTTTGCCAACAGCTATCTAAGTTCACAAGTTCGTTGACTCAAGAAGTTTGCCAATAACTTAAGCGATCTATCTTTGCAGTATTACGACAAGGAGTTTACGCTATGGGATCGATTTGAGGTTAATGGACGCAAGGAAGACGGGAGTGAGATGACCCTGCAGGAACTTTTTGACCTCTTCCAGGTATATTTTGCAAAGGCCCATCTGTGCAGTCACTTTGTTCTAATTACCTGTCATCTCTCAGTTGACGATTTTCGACCCACGAATTCGCAATGTATTCAATATGACCACGCACATTCTATGAATGTGTTTGTCAATGGGTTGCTTTTGTTCGCACAGTTGTTAGACAGTCCATTATATTTTCATTTTAGATCAACAGAATTTTTTTCTTGTTTTTACCGTTAACAGAATGAGCATAAACTAGAAGTAACGATGCTTTCACAAGGCGTTTGTATGTTATACTCGTTCTTCATGCCTCCTGCCAAGATGAAGGAAAGACTAGCTACCAAGTATGTGATTTTTTGTTTTCTTTTGTTATGGTTATTGTTTTCTGATGTCGAACGCAGTTACAATACCATTTAAGACGCGCGTCAACGTTCAGTTCTTAGTGGTATGCAACAGTTTTTTTTTTATTATTATTATTTCACGGTTCCAGCATTTTCATTTTTTCTTTAGATATTGACATCTCCTAATTCGATATTCTAAATAAAAGATTTAGAGTTAGTACCCATATTACATATGTTTTGAAGGTAAGGTTAGTTCCTCCATTATAGAGAATAAACCAGGCAAACGAATAAAGTTGCTTAATAAGTCGCACATTGGCTCACTGACGAGTCTGGAGAGAAGTGCTCTGCAGGGCAGAAAATGGTGCGATTCGTGATTAAATCGCCTTGCTCGGAGCCAATTCGATTTCTAGGATAACAAGGGATTTCAAAATAGATTCAATGACTTCGGTTATCCATAAAAGGCCTTCAAACCCGCCGGAGCTATTCGTTTTTATTTTCGCTTTTAGTTGTTCAATCATAACTACGCTTTACTGGTTAGTTTTATAAGCTTTTTCACCATTTTTTTTGTCGTTTTACCCCGTGGACAGAGTCTCTGAAGCGGTTGAAAAGGTATCCAAGAAGCGCATTAAACCTCACGTCAAAGCACTGGTGCTCGAGCTGTGCTGCAACGATAAAGAAGGAGAAGATGTCGAAGTCCCGTATGTCCGCTATCGCTTCCGGTAGACTTGCATTTGAACACCCGATTGTAGTTCCCAGTCGCTTACCTCAAATGAACAGCAGTTAAATTAGATAAAACACATCCAAACGAGGCTAAAAGCCCGATGTTTGCAAAATTAGATCTGAAAACTTCTTTGGTTGAGTTTCGTAGCACCAGATGTGTGAAAGCAGTTTCATTTAATAAAGAAAACTACGTAAATAGAAATGGTGACTGTTTTCCTTACATGTTTTCGAATCGGCAAAGCGAGAGACTTTCCGATAGTGGTTCTGTTTGAATGTGGAGGGGAGAAGGGAGAGGATTTCATAATGAAACCACAGTGAAGTGAACCAAAATAAAAAACTGATATCCAATTAACGCAAGCAGCGTTCTGTGCATGCAGACTCGATTGAGATTTGACTAAGCTCTAGCCAACGCCACGTTGCTATTAGCGCGTCAGGTTTATTTTTTAGCCCCTCTCTTTCATTCAGATAAATGCAACAAGATTAACCCGAGAAGGCAAAGCAAAAACTGGGAGTATTCAATAAATATGGGGGACAAGACGGACGACGCTTCTATAAACATGCCTCTTCGCGCGACTAGTTTGATTACTCCCAGTAGGAGTCGCAAGCAGAAGCGAAAGGATCAACCGATCGCAAGGCGAGTTTTTAGCTTATCTGATGGCTTACGACCCGACAATGTTCACCCTTTTCCTTCGCTCAAAACAAATTTTTGATGAATGGGTTTCACGATTGTGTCAATTATTTCCTGATGCGCCTTTAAGCTTGGAAAGGCGTGCAAATTTGTTTCGCACTGATTCCTTGATTAAAATTAATTACATATCCAGGATTATTTAGTTGTTATTATTGACCGAGCATGAGGTCTGTATGGGAGAATCTTGACCTCGGTCAATAAGATGTTTATTGTATGGGTGTGTCTTATATGCCAATTTTTTATATTCTTTGTACCTTTTCTTTCTAGACCGGTCTAGATGCCGGTCTAGATGGGAAAATCTAGACCGCTTTCAATATTTATTTCAGCCAATCAAATTCGTGAATTCGATAGTTTCCAGTCCTTGTGAGACAGCCATCTAATAATATTCAATCTAAAATGGGTAACAGTAATTATAATTATATAATTACACTATTGATAATACTAAGTGCTTATTTTCTTCTTGAAAGAAGAACTTGTTTCATGCGCAAGCTTAAAAGATGCCATTTGATTTATAATGGTAATTGAACTGGGTGGGGTGCAATTTGGGCTGAGTTCGTACGCGTGATTTCAAAATCGAACGAGCGCGCAGCGCAAGTACGATTTGAAATCACAATTACCGCTTTATTACATCCATTTTGAAATCGCCCAGATACAGGATTCAAATATTCAAATATTCAAATATTTTACTGATGCAGTACTGAGGCGGTTTTTAAATAAAAAGTGGAACCGGAAACGCTTTTACATCTTATTTTGTATGCAAAACAGAAAGACTGACGTCATGTGTCAAAAACTCAGTCAAGCGTAAAATGATGCGATTTAGAGCAAAAAATGGTGTGATTCGTGAATAAATCGCACCAATTAGAGCCAATCAGATCACAGGGGCCACCAGTGATTTCAAAATGGGTGTAATAAACTTTTAAATCCAACCTTTACTGTAGTCAATCTACAGCAACTAAATATATTTACATACAAACAAATAATTAAATAGCTGTTGGAAGACCTAGCAACAGGAATGAACTTCCTTAATGATAAAGGCCATCAGAAACAATATATATGAAAACGAGAACATAAATAAAGTATACATAATGAAAGGCAGTATCATAAAACGAGTATAGTAAAATGCTACATGTTAAAACAGTGCTAACTAAAATTAAATAATTACATTAAGTCACTTCTATCAATAGCAAAACAGTAGAGCCTTGGGTCATTTTTGAACATAGAAAGTAATTCCCTTTTCCTAATAGATATAGGTAAATTGTTCCAAAGACGAGCAACTCTGGGAAAAAATGACGACCTAAATAATTCTGTTCTTGCATAGTTAGTTTTAAAGTTAGTTTAGTGTTCCTTAAATTATAGGGTTCATGCTCAGAATCATAAAACTGCAGATACTTAGAGATGTCGAGGTCATCATAACTATGCAGGCATTTTAATAAAAAAAAATCAAGTTTAAATAGATACATCTAGATGATAGTGACATCAAACCAATCTTATTCAAACGTTCTTTGTATAAGAAATCCTATTCCCGACCACGAGCTCAGTCGCCTGACGTTGTACAGCTTCTACCATATCGTTTAATAAACTTGATGAGGAGACCTCACTTGAGAGGCGTAATCAAGATGTGGTCTAACGAGGTGAACATACAGCTTTTTAATAACATCAATGGCACACGACCCACAAGATCTTCTTATTAGACGCAAAACCTTATTACCTGTGTTGACTTTGTTAATAATATGATCATGCCGGGACAATGTATTGTTAACAAGAATTCCTAGATCCTTTTCACACCGTGTCTTCGCAATGATATTGTTACGAAGTTGATAAGATGAATTCGTAGGCTTTTTCTTTTTGGAGATGCTAAGATGTTTACATTTAGAAGCATTAAAGGACGTACCCCAGAGGCCACTCCAGTCTTCAATTGAATGGAGGTCTTTTTGAAGAGAGTCATGATCATCTCAACTCAGTAATTCTCTAAAGCACTTTACATCGTCTGCATAAAGATGGATATTTGTATCCTCACCGATGTTAACCGCAATATCATTAATAAAAATAAGGAAAAGAAGAAGACCGATAATTGAACCCTGAGGGACACCAGATGGAACATATCTCCAGTCACAAGCATATCCTTCGATGACAGTTCTGCGACGCCTATTGGTCAAATAACTTCTAAACCAAGCATAGAGTTGACCCCTTACACCAACCATCTCCAGCTTATAGAGCAATTCCTCATGAGGAACTTTATCGAATGCTCTAGCCATGTCGAGGTATATGACATATGTCTGTATGCCAGCATCAAGGGATTTTGCAGTAGAGTGCACAAATTGAAGAAGCTGTGTGACACGTGATCGATGCTGCCTAAATCAGTCCATGCTGATAACGTTAAAAAATCCAAGACGTGATGATACAATCTTGTGTGGACATGTCTCTCAAGGACTTTAGATGGTGTAGGTAGTACAGCAATTCCACGATAGTTGGAGACGATGTCTTTTTGATCAGCTTTGAAAGCAGGCGTAAGATTGCAATCTTTCCACTCACTTGGGAAAGACCCTTCATATAGGGATTTATTAAATATACAGGTGATAGAACAGTTAACTACTGATTTCTGGAGCCAGTTCCTTTAAGAGCCGTGAGGTTCCCCACCCTCGTTAGATATTTTGAATTGGTCATCGTTTAACGTCGTCCAATCAGAAAAGGGCAATCAACGTGACGGTTTCTGGCTGGCACATGAGAATCTTGCTACGCATTCCAGCACAGGCAGCCCAAGCTCACTTCTAGAAAAGCGGACGTGACTCTTAACGTGTTGCGCAACGTTTTATATTTATAAAGGTTTGTATGGGATGTTATCGGTTTGCCTTAAAAGAGAGAAAAAATGTCTTGTTTTGAAATAAAATGGGCTTACCTTATTGCTTTGTTGTTTTCTTTGTTGATTCCGAGCGTCT